CTTTTAATAAGTTAAAGTTTTAATAAGTCATAATATTAATAATTTATACTTTTAATAATTTATAATTTTAATAGGGTTTAAGAATTTAATTTAATAAAAATAATTTGTTTTGTATTAGATTAATCTAGTTGCGGGGAAAAGGTAGAGTATGACTATAGTTAGGGATAAACTCAGATATTGTTTAAATGATTTCATACTAGATTTAACACATTAAAATAATTTATTATTTATGTAATAAAAGAATTAAATTTAGGGGATTTGTGCAGTTTCACTGGTGAAGGATTCTAATCCATATTTCATATGCATGATGATGTAATATTACTTTATTATTTTACGATATATTTTTCTTCCCCGTTCATTCACCCAGACCAAAACAGGGTGGAAGTGAATCCAATCAGTATCTAGAAAATATAGCAAGTTGTAATTGCCATTAGATTCGTCATCTCAAACGTCACAAATCCTCAACATATATAAAATCAACCCTTCCGCAGTTGCTGCATGCATGATTGGTATCCAGTATCCACTATCCACCACCACCACCACCACCTTATTATCACTCTCACGCGCCACCATGTCCCACCACCGCATCCTCCTCATCCTGAACCCCTCCCAAGGCCACATAAACCCCGCCTTCCAGCTGGCGAAAAACCTCGCCGCCTTAGGCGCACACGTGACGGTCTCCACCACGCTCTACATGCACCGCCGCATCGCCAACAAACCCTCCCTCCCCACCCTCACCTTCCTCCCCTTCTCCGACGGCTACGACCACGGCTACACCTTCAGCTCCTCCGACTACTCCCTCTACTCCTCCGAGCTCAGCCGCCGCGGCTCCGAGTTCGTCCGAAACCTCCTCCTCTCCAACGCCCAAGAGGGTCACCCCTTCACCTGCGTCGTCTACACCACCATCCTCTCTTGGGCTGCTGACGTGGCGCGCGAGTTTCACCTCCCCACCGCCTTGCTCTGGACTCAACCCGCCACCATTCTCGATATCTTCTACTACTACTTTCACGGGCACCGTGATTCCATCGACGCCAAAACCAAACATTCTTCTTCTCTCATTCAGTTTCCGGGGTTGCCGTTAACGCTATCACCCAGCGACCTACCTTCCTTCTTATTGGGTTCAAACCCTACTTTTGACTCTCTCATTGTTTCAATGTATGAAAAGCAGCTTCTCGCTCTGGACGAGGAAACGAGGCCGAGGATACTCGTGAACACGTTCGAAGCGTTGGAGCCGGAGGCTCTAAGCGTGGTTGAGAAGTTGAACATGATCCCCATCGGACCGTTGATCCCCTCGGCCTTCTACGGAAAGGATCCTTCTGATAATTCATTTGGCGGCGACGTGTTCGATCTGACGAACGGTTACGTTGAGTGGCTCGAGAAGAAGAAGGAGATGTCGGTGGTTTATGTCTCGTTTGGGAGTTATTGCGTGTTGTCGAAGGCGCAGATGGAGGAAGTGGCACGTGCGTTGTTGGATTGTGGAAGGCCTTTTCTGTGGGTGGTTAGAGAGAAAGAGGAGTTGGAGGTGGAGTTGGAGTTGGGATTGGGAGGGAAGGGGAAGATAGTAACGTGGTGTTCTCAGGTGGAGGTTCTGTCGCATGGTGCTGTGGGGTGTTTCGTGACGCACTGTGGGTGGAACTCAGCTATGGAGAGCTTGGCTTCGGGGGTCCCGATGGTGGCGTTTCCGCTGTGGGTGGATCAGAAGACGAATGCGAAGCTGATAGAGGATGTGTGGAAGGTAGGGGTGAGGGTGGATGGTGAGGTGAATGAGGAAGGGGTGGTGCAGAGGGAGAGGATTAGGGAGGGTTTGGAAGTGGTGATGGGGAGTGGAGAGAGAGGAGAGGAGTTGAGGAAGAATGCCAACAAGTGGAAGGATTTGGCTAGGGACGCTGTCAAACAAGGTGGCTCTTCGGACAACAATCTCAGGGCTTTTCTTCGTCACGTTCAAGCTCCACCATAGTTTCACCATGTAACTCCACCTTCACCGTCGTCCTTCAGTTTTGCTACACTTCATTCTCATTTGTCGACTAGGTTTACTGCTTTACTGCTTTTTTTTTTTTTTTTTTTTTGGTAATATCCCAACTCGGGGTATTCAGTATTCACTCCTGCTTTCGTCATATTTCTCATTTGTCTTTTTCTATTATTGGGGAATGAATAAGATTTAATTGATTAAAATATACTTTGAAAGTCACTGTTTTAAAAAGTTGGAACTTTGAATCGTTATTAGTTTTTTAATCGATTATAATTCGGTTTTTTATTTTAATATTTACTTTAGATTTATTTACTGACATCAAAATTATTATTTTACTTATTTTTAATCGGTTTAAATTTTACCTTAATTTATTTATTACTTACTTTTAATCGCTTATTAATTTTATTTTAAAATTTATAACGGGTTTATTTATTCACTTTTATAAGTTTTAGTTAATTGAATTAAAAAAATATTTCATTAAAAATTAACTTTAAAAATATTTTATTTTATTTATTTATTTCTAACAGATACTTTATTTTCATTTATTTATTTCTATCGTATAAAACATACATATATAATATTGTTTTCTTTGTTTTAAATTAAACACTCTAAATTTCACTCTATTTCTTATATATTTTTATTTACTAGTCGGCTATTTCTTTTCACTTTTTTTTAACTAATTACACTTAGTGGTATTATTTGGATTGACACAAATGGTTAAGAATTTGGTCCAAACTTATATTCATGATGTGAGTTTAACACTTGGAGACTACTAAAATTCTACATTGGTGGACCTACTTACTATCAATTCTCTTTGGTCATAAGTGCTCCCTCTAGTGACCTTGTGATGACCCTCAATTTGGAAAGTAACTTCCTGTCTCAAACTAGATATTTGATCAATTTCGAGTAACTGTTAAGTGTATAATGTAATGTCTTAATTTTTAGATATAATATTCTTAAATTTATTATTATATTTTTTTATAAGTAATAGTCTAATTTTTTTTTGTTATCATATAATATATATATATATATATATAATAGAGAATAAGTATAATATTTTATATAATTATAAAATTTTCAGTAAAATAAAATACAATTATATAATATTTATTTCTAATTTTATTCTTATTATTATTTTTCAAAATAAGACTCTAAAATTATAGTTAATATATTTTATTTATTTTTATAAAATTTTATATTTTCAGTAAACTATATATATATATATATATGTATGATATCTAATTATATTATAATATTTTATTACATATGAAACAATTTATTATAACATTATACATATAAAATATAATGGTTCAGTGACTTGTTTTATAATGCATAGAGATCATAAGATACAGGCCACAGGATCAAATCATGTTGTGTCTCGATATATATATATTAGTAATTAAATAAAAATTTATTCAAAATCTATAAGTATATATTAATTAGATAAATTATATAAGATAAACGTAAATTCTCTTACGTAAGACAAGTAGAAAGGTGAAAGAAAGAAAGATAAAAACAACTTTAAGGTAAGGGGGAGAAGAACTTTATCTTTTTAAAATTTTATATGCTATTTATTTATGTTATAATTTGTGTATATTTATTTAGTGAGGTATCCCTAACCTCATTTATTTGTTTAATCTATGATAATTTTTACTCATAATAATTAATAAGGTGTTCATAGTTTATATTGTTGAATTATTTTATAATAATTATTATTGTCATTTACTTGATTAGTACTTTTAATATATTTCATTTACGTAAACATTATTTTAATGATAAATATTCAAATTTATTTAGTGTAATTGTTTTTATGATTAACTATAACATAGTTTTGTTAAAATATCTTTGACTTATCTTGTTATTTCTTCATGCATTTATAAAGATAAAATTTCATCTTATAGCCATAAGAATGAACCTTAGGGATTTAAATGAGTAAGGGGTTAAGGTGAAAAATCCTTTTGTTAGTTGATATTATGATGATGTTCATTTATCCTGACTAGTCACTGCAAGTATAATTCAAATTTATATATATATATTTTCTAGTATTAACTATTGTTACGTATGCTATGTAATTATTAATATTTATTTAAAAAAATTTCTCACTCATTATGTTTCTTGTTTAAAATTTGTATTAATTTATTTAGAAAACAAATATATATACATATAGATGATTGTGCTCGCCATTCCAAGACCTTTTCCCTCAGTGATATCTGTAGTATTTTCTGGAACTACATGGAGTGTAGACGCGGCAACAAACACAATCACATTCAATGGAGTGGTGGTGTCAACTTTTACCTTCTCTCCAAATCAAGAAGTCTCTACAGTGATCAACGACTCAATAATAGTCACTTTCTTTTTACCTCCCGCTAACCATGTGAATCCAGTTGTAAATTTGTTTCAACCACCCCTGTAAATATTATAATAGAAGTAGAAAAAGAAATTATGGTATGTAAATAGGCACGTATTGTAAATATTTTTAATAATATATATGTAATATATGTAAAAAGTAAGTAATTACGCACGTAGTGGTAAATATTTTTAGTATGTTATTATGTATAACATTATTAATATGCATGTGTTTTCCATCTATAAATATTATATATATATATATATATGCGTATATTATTGAAATTAATATTAATACGACTAGGTGTTACAGATAACGTTTGGTCTAAGGAGAATCCCAACATGTCATTGTTGTTTAGTAGACATGAGATATCATTCTTTCTCTACTATTTTATGTAAAAATAAAAAATAAAAATAAACACATAGTTAGCAGATAGATTTTGAATTTAAACTTTTTTTCTTTAATACAACAACATTAAAAAACCTAATATGGCTCACATTAAGCTGATTAATCAAGTTATCTGAATGTACTCAGTTAAAAGAAAGTAAGAGTATAAACTCTTCCTTTCTATGTAGAAAATAAAATAAGAAAAAGAAAAAAAAACTCCTTTCTAAATATTTTGAAGTGGTGATTATCACTGATTTTCAATCATAATACCATTAATTATTCAATTTTTGTACATAAACTCAACGCAATCTTGCATCTTACTTTATGACGACGGATGCAACAATTTATGCTCTAAAAAGTTTTAGCATTAAGTTCGACACCAAGCTATCGAAATAATTAATTTTTTAAATTGTAAATTTGACTCTAATTAAGGAGAAGATATATAAAGTTCCTTTTAAGACTTGAGTCTTATCAACTCATTTCTCATGGAACTTTAGATTGTTAGTAGTGAAAGGAGCTATGAAGTTCTTCCTCTTATTTTCAACTTATTGATAGTCATAAAAGTTCATTGTTTAGTACCAAAGTAGTAATCTAAAGCACCTAGTTGAGGATTGGAGTGGTGCAAAACTTTTCGGTGTGTGCTTGGAGTTTCTTACCTTCTTCTTTGTCTTCCTCACTCTTAGAGTGATTTGTTGAGGTAAGGGAATCTAGGACTTGATCTTTGTTGTTGTGGTGATGTCCATGTGAATTCTATTTCAATTGTTGCTTGAATTGCATGTCTTGATGGATGTGTGTTGATGAATTGAGGTTTGAATTTTTGGTTGGTGAGGATTTGGTGCTTTGATGAAGATTTGGAGAATGTGAGCTATTTAACGGTTGCATGTTGAATTTTTTGCTAGACATATGAATTGGTAGCAATGTATTCATATTGTTGGATATGTTGCATGTTATATTTCCTAATTTTTAGGTGAAGGGAAAGTAATTTCTTGAAACTACAAGTGAAAAATTCACCATCACGCTAGGCACACCTTTATGACATCAGGCGTGACTTAAATCAAGGGTTCTCTACCTTACTCGTGTCAACGCAAGATTGGTGGTGTTAAATGTATGGAGAGAAAATTGACTTTGACTTGGTCATGTTGAACGTTAAGTTAAATGACACTAAGCATGAAGAGAGAAAATCGTCTCTACCTAAATTGACGTTGGACGTTAGTAGGATGACTTCGGACATGAGTCAGGGAGAGAATTTTTACCTAAAACGGGGTCTTTACTTGAAATGGGGCGAGACATGGAATTTGACCATGCCATGCATGATTACCCTAGGGGTCTTTGATCTTAGTCACACCAATTGCAAGATGAATGGCGTTGTACGTGTGCAAGAAAGAGAGCTCTCAATCTCAATGATGTTAAGTGCTAGGTGTACGACACTAGGTGTGGATTTCCTTATGAAGACTTGTTGTTTGATTGATGAGATGGTGAACATGAATGGGTTAGATGAATATATTGTTTGTTTTATGTTGTTTAACATTGTAGGTTTTATATTTTATTGATCTAAGACAATATATATAGATGAATAATTGTTGAAATGTTAAGGCGTGATATTGGGAATGCTTTAGGTATTTAGGCATGGTATGTTAGTTGATTGTTGAACTGTTGAGGTGTGTTGCTGATGATGTTTTAGGCATTTAGATATGGTTTGTTGTTTCACTTAGGGCTAAAGAAAATAGTGTTTTCGAAAGTTGGATATCTCATTGTGAGGATATTAGTGTGATGCTTTAAGAGTCCAATTTGTTGAAAACCTTAATCGAGTGATTGACTCTTAAAATGGATAGTTAAGTCTCCTCTAGCACATTCATTGTGTCGTATATATGTGGGTTAGGTGAAGGTATTTCGATTATAAGTAACTAATGTTGATCTGTATATGTGTATGGCCAATGCATACGTGTATAAAGTGACCAACTAAGTAAAGTACAAGGTTAAGGGGCTTAGTCCCTAACTAAGTACTGGAAGAACACATTATTTAGAGGATAGTCAGTAAATTAATTCCATAAAAGACTTAGTACTACAAGCTAAATTGTGGTGAGCTTATACCCAAGTTATTATACCTTAACAAGAATACTAGATTTCCTAGTTTAAGTGTCAATATTTGAAAAATTATGTTGTTAGGGATTGGTATCCCAATCAGTTGTTGATCTAATTAACAGTTGTAAAAATATTATGTTGATTCGGTAAGTCAAGCTACTCAAACTGCTCACTTTTGTTATGCGAGATTTCCATAAGTGAATGTGTGGCAACGAATGTAGTTGATGTGTTGTTTTTGATTGTGGTGTTCATTTACTTGGTTGATGATGTTGTTGAGCGACATTCATGTGGTAAAATAAGAATTTTCGTACGTGCTTAAGTTACTTATTTTATAAGATGTTGAATGACATGTTGAGGTATTTTGTTGTAGTGTTAAGATGTAGACCATGTGATCTTGTTGTATGGTTTACATGTTAATGTTGTTGATAGTATAATTATTTTTCTTTTATACTTGTTGTATGATTATTCTTTTGTACACTAACTTATTCTTACATGTTTTCTTATAATTGAACAACAATTATTATACTAGATATAGGAATATGACAAAAATAAATTTTAAGTAAAATTTTTTGTGGTGATGTCAATAGTGATCGATCCTAGGTGCTACGTACTCTACTTTAATTTTTGGTAGTTATTACTTGATCGATGGCTTGAAATTTTTATTTTACAATTTTGAATTACCATTATAATTATCAATAATAATAATAATAATAATAATTATTATTATTATTATTTGTACACACAAACACCTATATTTAATTATTTCTTCAATTAGTTTACACTTTTATATATATATATATATATATATATATATATATATTATAATGCATATATTTAGATATTGTAATTATATTAATTTTAAAAAATAAATAATATTTATTATTAGTAATTGATTCATTAAATATAATGATCATGACAAATTGCTATATTAATAATTTATTTCATTTAACTCATAATTAAATTCGGATATAGAAATTTCTGTAAAATAATGAAACAATCAGAATAAGAAGAATTTCCAAAGACAAGAAATCTAAAATATCATTTTTATATCTTGAACGGTGAGGTTCAGTTATCTGTCCCTCGTCCTTCTGCAGCAAGTCGATAACTCATAACTTCTATAACACTTATGTCTCCATTGATTGCTATGTTGCCACATACTAATCACTGTCCAAACCGGATTCACACTTGCCTAACATTTTTTTTGGTCAAGGACACATGCAATTAACGCATTTGGTTTCCAAAGCCTGCTACCTGGTTTCATAGCCAGTCATTGCATGAACTCTCTTAGAGCATATCGGCAGTGCGCGTTCGTATTCTGTATCCTAAAATCAAGCACATGTTGCTATTAAACAACTCATGTTAGAACTCGTTGAATTGGCAAGTGAAGTTACTAAAATTAAGTACCGTGTCTTGTTTAAAACACAGTTGTTTAAGAATAAGAAAATTATCTAATAGCTCAACCGGATGTGAACAAGAACAACGCAAATAGATGTTCATAAATTTGAACTTATGACAGCTAAAACCAAATCGAAGAAAACTTACGCATCAATCAAATCTGTTGTGGTCCGAGGGGGTTACTACACATATACACATGTCTCTACATTGGTGAGATATTGTCCGCTTTGGACTCAAGCCCTTCCGGATTTACTTTTGGACATTACCCAAAAGGTCTCTCAACCAATGGAGACAAGTGTGTGTATATAAACTCATGTCCGTCCTCTTGTTTAAACGATGTGGGATTTTGCTTACATCCCAACAGTCCTCCCCTCAAACAAAAGACCACAGTTTACCCCATCCCTTGGGGCGGAAACTACGAGTATTATCTGATGGTGGCCCCACAGAGCTCACTCACGCTTAGAGCACCTCCAACGGAGGGTGCTTACTGTGTTGCTTAAGAATAAGCAACGGTACTTATAAAAACTTTCCATTATTGGAGTGGATCTAGGTGGCAACCCGGTTGCTTAATTTTTTTTTTCAGTTGCTTGTCCAAGGAACGGTGCTTAGCACTGACAAATTTGAAAAAGAGAAACGTGATTGGCTGATAGGAATCCAAGTGGAATATGAAAAGGGTTTTGAAAATAAAAAAAATAAATAAAACCTCCATCTTCAGGTTCTTCCTCCATTGGGCATGTGCGAAGGCCGCTGGACGTTGGAGGAAGGGTTGTCGATGCCGGCAACCGGTCGCCGGTCGAGCGTCGCCGGCGGCGCGTCTCCGGCCGCGCTTAGCCGTCCGGGCCATGGAGCAACCCCCGTAACCCGCGCGACTCCACCGTCATGAGTACCTCTGCACGCGCAACTCCGTTGAACCAGACCTCA